GAAACTAGGACACTCACAGAATGGGAAGCTGGTTTCATGAACAGTAAGGTATTGTCACCTCTTTCCATCCCTTTTCAATAGATGTCAAAACCAGCTAAAATCTGTTTCTGTTTGGGGCTGGAGAGAAAACTAGTGTTTAATGGCCCTGTCTGTTTGTCTTCCTAATGGTTGTACATCTAGTGATTTAAAGGGTTCTCATGTGGGCATTTGTCACCTGTTCCATACAGTGACCAATAATTAGAGCAAAACAACACGTGGAATGGCCAAGTGCAAATTAACAGCTGTCGAGCTGACTTCAGTTTGCAAGTAATATGACCTGAAGCAACTGGCCACATACATATACATCCCCAGGGTAAAACAAGCTTGCAGTTGTCGTAAGTGGCTGCTGGAGAAAATCCACAAGAATCTGTAATACAGTAGATAGTGGAGCATTCTCCTCGATGCTAGAAATGAGGCAGGTGAAACTGCTGTTATTTGAGCAATGCTCAATCTAAAAAAAACAGGTTCAGCACCTTTTAAATTGAAATTACCGAAATGTATTGAATATGCTAGACAAAAGAAGGTGTGATTCATTTTTACATAATTTCCAAAATATTGATGTAAAGACTACATCAATTGTAAAGTAAATTTTCAATGACTAGCCACTGCAGAATGACAGACGCCTGCCTGGGTGTCCGTGGATGAGATATGCCTATTCATGGAGAGACTGAAGATTTTGGTAAATGGCACTGCTATTAAGAAAAGTGATGGGTGGTTTTACCGTCCACAGGAATATGAAAATGGAAGACTCCCAAACAGGAGAGAGACACAATAACGACAAGACCAAAAAATAGAGAGAGTCAGAGGAGAAAGAAGCAGGCGAGACTCTGCGAGTCACTAGAATAAATGAGAGAGAGGAACCGATTGGGTTTCTTTCAGGGGGAGATTTCTGTTTTATTGGAGGGACTCATCAGTGTCAGTGGCAGCGAACTGACCTAGGCAGGAAGAAAAAGCCGGCTGATTCTGAGGAAAAGCTGTGGTTCCTAGGGCTCTGAAAGGGTGCTGCAGACTGGTAGGGGAACTGAGGTGGGGGAAAATAAATGTAGGTACATCTGCTAATTGGTGTAAACGTGCACAGCTCTTTTAATCAGCACCTGAAAGTAAAGAACAGTTGTGTCAGAAAGCCTTGTGCAGAAGTCTGTCTGCACTTAGATGCTATGCTTGTCATATGTTCCTGAAGAGACAGACTGAGCCTTCCTCGATTTTGCTTGCAGGGTTAAAAGTCTTGGGCGGCCTCTGGCCTTCTCCATCTCCCTCTGCTTCTATCCAGTCCTGTCCCATGCCTCTTCATACACATACAAAGCATGCGCGTATATTTATATGTATGGATGTACATAAGCATACACAAACGATACCCATAAATTCCCATGCATATTGATTTCCTTTTATTTCCCGCATTCCCTATCTCCACTGTGATCCACCTCTTCACAGGCTGCCTCCTCCTTTTCCTTATTTCCCAGGCAAGAGAGTATGGACAGCACGGAATGGCTCTGCTGCCTGTTCTGGTGCCCAGTTTTTTAATGTCTTAGGACAAGACCGCTGCAGAGGGAGTGCTTCTCAGCCCGGAGCTGTGGCGTCACGCCGTGGTAGCTGTGCTGGGGTCCACGCGGTACAGCAACAGGCAGGGCTTCTGCACAAGGCATCTTCCGCGATTTTAGCCACCAAGCCCCAACAGGCAAAGGGAAACTAGAGATTTTGGTACCGAATACGGGCAGGTTTTCACAAAAACAGCAAAACGCATTTTCTTGTGGAAGTAGCTGGGGACCTTCTGTCAAATTTTAAAACCCTATTAACTGAGATTTAGAACAACCAGCCCTCATACGGGCACTCAGAACAAACACACACAAAACAGACAATGTGGGGACATCTTAGCCACTTAGCTTCCTAAATGGAGGAATTGCTAAATGGCTCTTCCTGCCCTAAACCGGTAGAATAATCACAGATTCATTCAATCAATGCCTCTCTGCAAATTAACTTCTTTGGATGTTTTATATGTATTTTTGAAAGCCTTCCCAGCAGAATCCCTCGGAGTGCTGCATTCTGCCTTAAAAGAAAATTCCAAATAATACCATGTTTAAGAGAAAGGAGAGCAAGCTTTCTACTCCCCTCAATTAAAAAAAAACCAACCCAAAAACCCGCAAACCAACCCCTCCACCAAAAAACCAGCAACGGGGAGAGAGGTGTAGCTTTCTAGGAGTATGATTTAAAGTGAATGAGAAAAAAAACCCCAAATTTGATCACTGAAAAAAATAAAGGACTGATTTAAAACCTTTGTGGGCAGAGAATAGATAGTCAAAACCTAACAATAACAACGGAGCAAAAAAGAGGTGACAATGCTGAATAATCCTAAACCCCCTCAGAATAATTCAAACTTAGCTGTGTACAATTTCCAAGGAGAAGAAAGCAAGGAACAAATGTGGTCACTGTGGTTTTCTACAAGACTAGCTAAAGATCAAAGATCAAGGTAAAAAAATACATTTGTATTAAAAATGTCAAATGTGGAGTTAATGAGAGCTACTTAAAGTGGGCACAAAAAGAAATGTTTAAAAAAAACCCAACCCAAACCACAAAAGGTCAGACAATGTGTGGCAAAAAACATTACTTTTGCCTTCTTAATGTATAGGCAACATAAAAGTTGGTTTGGTTTATCATCATTAGTGTTATACAAGTACGAAAAAATCTGTAGATTAATGAAATCTGAAGAGTTTAAACTGGAGTTCTTGTTGGTGTCAGTAACTGTACGTAGGGAGTAAAAGAGCAGAAGCAGAAGCAGAAAAAAGACATTCAGAGGACTGAACCACAGAGGCTCCGATTCTCCTCTCACTTGCACCAATTTTTTGCTGAGGTCGCTTCTGTCTCAGAGAGATTAATCATGATTTCCACAGCAAATCAAGGACGCAGCTGAATACTGAATGAGTGTAAAATGCAGACAGTGCTAAAACTGAAAGAGAACAAAAAGCATCTGTGGAAAGCAAACTGAACATAACTAGGAGGGCACCGCGTCTGGGGAAAAACAAGCCAATACCTAATTCTGTGCTGTATGTGGAGAGACATTTTTACTGAAACAGGGAAATAGTATTTCGTATACTTCTGGCTTTTTAGAAAGGCTGCACTAGGAATTGGGCAATCTGTCCCAGGGACCTCATCCGAGCGTATGTATGGACAATCTCAGAGACTTCTGCAAAGAAGAGAAATGCTTGTTGTGCTTGAGGGACAGACTTCTCTGGATGATTGGAAGAGGTAAATGTGCGTAGCGGGGCTGAGAGGTGACTAGAGTACAATAAAAAGCTATTTCTATTTGCGGGATAAGCAGTAAGGAAAATTGAAATATTTAAGGTTACAGAAAGAAGACTATTGAGGTAAAAGTACCATCCAGACAGACCATGAGATAACCACTCTTGCGGTGAGATACATTGGACTGTGAGCAGTGTGAAAACAAAGCAGCAGAGCCTGGACCTCAGGCACTTCAGCTAACCGTGAATCAGCTGAGCACCACTGATCTGCTAGATGGCTTGGATCCTATCAGATCACTGTCAGGATATGGACATCAGCTTCCTATGGAAGACTGCCCAAGTTCAGAGTCCTTCATCCGTCTCGTCTCTTTTTTAAGGAAGATTGCCTTTCTTTTCTGCTCCAGAGGTAAGGAAATATTTTACCTTATGTGAATATCCACGATGATAAATTGTTACTGAAAATCCCAGGTACCATTTGTAATTTCTTTAAACGCTTGCTCTGAAAGGCTGTTCCTAGCTGTTATTGCTTTAAATCTGAGATGGTAACAAAAGGCTTAATTAGATCTACATACAAAGCACATTAAACACAAAATTTCGTATAGCCCTTGTAGATACTTCCATTAGAAGAATGTGGTCACTTTGGCTGCACGTATAAGAATGGAGACGTTCTGAAAACCTAAAAAACTGCTTCCACATCCTGTGTACTGAGTTCCAGATGACGATGTTTCATGCCTATACAGTTTTTTGAAATCCAAAGAAAAAAGTCAGTGCTTTACAAGGTATTATGTACACATGCCCAGAAATGCAATAACTGGGTGCAGTGGGTGGGTAGCAGCTGCTTGGCACGTCAAGTGGGTTTGCATGTGTACTGAGAAGGGAGTTGTAATCAGTAGAGCAG